TCTCTCTCTCTCTCTCTCTCTCTCTCTCTCTCTCTCTCTCTCGTTTTCTATCTTTCCCTCAATCTTTCGGTCTCCCACAGCCATGGCCAGTCCTCGGCAGTCTCGTTTTATTATTTGCGTCGCTCGTATCATTTGAGCTAACTTACTAGGTGAAATTAATATGCGAGAGCGACTCGCGAGCATATATCTTTCGGACTGTAACTACAGAGCAGTCGTGAAGTCGCTCCCAGCGCATTACACGTTACCTCTACGCCTAAATATTCAAGATCGTCCTTCTTTAATGTAAACGCTCCGTGTCGCAATGAAGGCAGCTTAACCCCGGGTTCTCACCCGCGCCAACATATTGCGGTATAAAATTTTCAGTTCGCCGATATGACGTTATGCCTGTCAGAATTCGGTGAAAACGACTTACTACCGCTCGGTACCGCCATGTTGTCGGTAATATAAATAATTAATCCTTAGTCGGAACCTTAATGTTCCTTCCCGGAATATTCATTGTGATCTCGCGATAATTAAGGAATTTTCCTTAGCGAAAGGCGATTCAAATCATCCGAGAAACTTCCGCGAAATCGAAATTTTTTTCTCGGAAGTCTCGGAAGTACAACAGATGATAACACGTTCAGTTTTTCCAATAATTGCGCGTAAATGGAATCACGCGCGGTCGCTCGCTAGCGTGATTTTCTCGTCCCGCGTGGCATCGTCCGAGGAGGAGTCCCTCTTCGTGCACTTCCCACGAAAGTCTTCCTGACAAATGGGTGACTCCCGCGAGCACGATATAGTCCCATGGCCTCGCGGGAAAATAATAAAGGCGTGGCTATTATTCAAATTAGAAGACGCGAGTGCCTCCTGCGCCCGCGGCTCATGAATGGAAACAACCAGGATCTCGCGAAGTAAGCTCGAGGGGGCTCTCGAGAGGAAAGCCTACCGGTAACTCCTTTCCCTCATCCTCGACGAGGCCGTGGAATATACAGAACGTAAATTTTTTTTTCAGGGCTCACGTCCGGACGAATCGACCGTCCGCTTTGGTCGCTCTCTCGTTTTAATCTCTCGTAGACGATCGTGCCTTGGAAGTGGAAAATATGGAAGACGTGTCTCGGAAAATCGCCCGAACAAAAGCTCCAACTGGAAATTAATTGCGAGTTACTCGTAAGAAAGTACTGGATGCGAGGGAAAACTTTTGAAGCGCTTTAAAGCATGTTTCCCGCGACGCAGAGTACTTCCTCTTCCGGGAAAAATCTAGAAGAAAATAATGTCCTTTTCTTTTAAATATAAACGATCTAAGTCCATAGTTGTCATGTGGGTCGGCTAACGAGCGGCTATACTCTGTCTCTCTCTTCTCTCTTTTCCGAGAGATATACGATCCACAATTACGGTCTCGAGGGTGTTTTTCCGAGGTCTTCTTTTATCACGCCGCACAATTTAGCCGTGTGTAGTGAACTTCCCCGGGATGGTTTTGCATTTCATACGAGCACTTTCCGAGCTCGCGCGTGCTCGCTCGTGCGGGCAACATCGCTGCTCGACGTTTCAGCCCGAGAACAATTTCAACTCTTTTTCACGATCTCCTTTGACGACCTCTTCATTTCGGAGCAGCCAAGTGCAAACCAAGAGCCTTCTCGTTATCGCGACACACGGGAAGCCGGTTTAAGAATTTATCACCGCGATTATTCCCCGACCTCGAGCTTCTTCTTCACGTGTATAACCGACGTCACTTACTTGGACAAATCGATGTTTCAGAATGTCGCGTCGATCATTATCGTTACACACATAATTTCGTTAGACGAGCAATATCAATCTTTCCGTGACGTTAGCCAGAATATAGAAGAGTACGGAAGAAAAAACAAAGAAAAATGTTTCTTGAAATTTGTTTTCCATTTTTGATATTTTTAAATGGCGTCGTCATAAAAGTAATCCTATGATCATTTACATTTTCTCCTCTTATGGAGAATATTATTTCGAATAGAATACAATTTCGAAAATAAAAGATCAATTTATTCGACGAATTGTACGAGCAGTAAAAAATTTTATACGAGTATCTAACTATAATAAATTTATAGCAATTGATGTTTATGCTTGGAAATATCAAACTGATAACATGAACATATCCTTCTTCCAATTGATTAATTTTTCCCTCGGTGTTGATAAGAATCTATATCTCGTATCGCAAAAGTTTCGAGTACGAGAAGTATCAAACTCGCGTTCAGCATTCGATTTTTCGGCACGGAATATCGACTTTCTGGCGGTGACGATAGCAGCAGCTATTGGGATAACACAGTAGAAGAATTTATGTTCCAGTCGGCGCCGGAGAACTATACGTCACGGAATGGGCGGCCAACTGGATTAGAATGGTTCTCGAGTTAAGAAGCTGTACATTGAATTTGCCTCTCTCTCTCTCTC